GACATTGCGTGATGCTCTGCAGTCGCCTCTCGACTCCGAATCATGATATAATTGCAATGGTGTTGTTTAAATAGGCAAAGGGGAAACAAGGGTCTAGAGTTTAGGGTTAATTACTAATTTCAGTCAGGTACATGGACACTGACGCTGGCAAGAAGTGGCAGCAGGAAAGGGACTGGGACATCAAAGGAGATTGAATTGTGGCTAACTGATACTGATGTTCTAAGCACCGCTGGTCTGAGGAATGTTGTGGCTAAGTGATTGTACAGTGCCTGAAGAATCACTGTCTTGGTTCATAATATGCTCAGCAGTCCAGCCAGTCCAATCTTCTCAGATGATGTCGCTGTCATGCAGCGCACCGTTGAGACCGCTGCACTAGGGATTGGGTCTTCAAAGAGGATTGACTTGTGGCTGACTGATGATCTAATCTAAGCACTGCTGGTCTGAGGAATGTTGTGTCTAAGTGATTGTACAGTGCCTCAAGAATCATTGTATAATATGCTCAGCAGTCCAGTCCAGTCCAATCTTCTCAGATGTCCCTGACACACAGTGCACCGTTGAGACCGATGCCCTCGCAAGAAAGAAATGCTTCGGGGAATCAAGTCACTGCAATGCTGATTTCAGTATTTACGCATCACTTGTCCAAGCGAAAGTTTATCCTGATCAGGTTTACCTTGGTGCTGGTAACTCGATCGGTGAGTGCCTCAGCTCAGGGTTCCCAACGACTGAGCGTGTGCCACTGAGTCGGGGCCGAACAGGTGTCTTGTAGACGAGCCAACCACGGCGATGCTGTCACATGGAATGGCGAGAGTCTCAGCATCAAACGACACATATCCATTTCCAGTTAAGCTACTACTACTTCCGGGTGTTATCATTGAAGTTGAAGTGTTTCCTTTGTGAAAGTCAGCATCATGATGATGCTTGAATGTGCCACGGACGGGACATGGCAAGAGTCTGCCTGTCAGGTCGGGCGAATTCCATTATAATATAATCGGCGAAGGCTGCAAGATATTTCTCTTTCTTGTCTCGTTGATAGATGACATATACCCAGATTTCCTTGAAAAGGGAGCAGCAGCTGCGAGCGATAATTGTGCAGGCTGACACCGGCAACCTTCCTTTGAGTGACTGAAGTAGACTTTTTTTGCCTGTGTTCATGTCGTTCCCATTACATTAATTAAGATGTGTCCGAGGCTCATGGCATGGTGTGGGAAGGAGTCCAAGCCTGCGAGTCGACCGGTCACCGACCCAGCATGTGCTGTGTTTGTGTGTGCATTCGTTCGCAATCTTCCAACTGTGAGTGAGGTGCTGTCCATTGATTGATTGATCGACTCACACATGATTTGGACACCTCCGATATTTGACCGAAGCTGTGACTGTTTCAGTGCCTGTTCTGTTCTGAAGACATGGCGGTAGCAACTCGTGCCGGCGTGTATGAATGGCGTCATGGCGCTCGACAAGAAACCTTGTTCCTGTTCGATAACTGGCGAACGGGCTTCAAGCGCCGAACTCGTGGCTGCGCCGGGATTTAGTTTGATTTTTGAGTGTAGTGTAAGAAGTTAGAGCATGCTGACTGCTGATGTTTCGGTGTGTTTCCTGTCTGATCTTCCAGCGTTTGCTTGCAACTATGCTCACTTGCATCCAAGGTACCGGTCGCGTGGCTTACGGTATGCAGGGTACGTGGTGCCTGGCTGCCGATGGCCGTGACATCTTGCTTCGTGACTTCGCTTGTTGCTCTGACGTCGGCGTGCGGAGACACGAGATTTGTTTGCGGCAGGACAGTGACTGTCATGGCCACTTCACTGACGGCATCCGCAAAGTGTCTTTCGTTGGTGTCATCACACTGAGCTCACCGAGTGCATTGCCGACAAGCGTGCCTGAGGGCTGGGTTCTCATCGAGGAGAGGAACTTTCAGCAGTGATTCAGTGACTGCAGCAATTTTGTTTCACAGCGCGTTCAAAGGGCCTTTGAGAGTTTGTCTGATTTTAAATAGGACATCACTTGTGCCTGGTTCAGTCTGTGCAAGTGCACGTGTGTGTGTGTGTGTGTGTGCATGTGTCCCTTTGCGATGCTACAGCTTCCGTGAAGCCATGTTCAAGCAGTCCATGTCTGGTCACAGTGACTTTCTGTTGCTGTGCCATTGTACACGAATCGACTGGACCACATGGCTCAGTAGTAGCAATAGTGGCCATGTCTGGTCACACTGAGTTCCGTTGCTGTCATTGTACACGAATCGACTGGACCACACGGCTCCGTAGTAGTCGCTGTGGTGCTAATATGGCGGACGAGTTTAACTCTGATGTGTAGTTGTTGGCCGTGCGACCAAAATGTGCGTGCGTTCCCAGATTCTGACATCGTGTCTCATAAACTGTGTGTCGCTCATGCCGCGCCTGCTTGCCCCCAGTGGCCCAGGTCTCAGAGTGTCAACATCTTGCAAGAGGCTGGTCCGTGAGCTTGTCTTTACACAGCAAAAGGTGCGGTACAGCGCATTTGCTGCATGCTGGGTCTGGAAAATCATGCACATTCAATATTTTGATTAGCCGGCAGCCAAGAATAATCAATCCGCCGCTGGTTGAACTGTAACACGTGACGTGTGATTCGAGTTATCCTGAATCTGCCTGCTGCAAGGTCTTAGTGCCTGTACGTGCTGAAAACTGAGTCTGGAGGAAAGGAGGCCTGTGACTGTGTGGCTTTGCATGCGCTGCTAGCAGAGTGTTTGCTGCCAGGTGGTTGTTCATGGTAATAGGTTCCGGTGTCTAGTACACTGCATGTGCTTCGTGCTAGGTGTGGAATCTCTTGCCAATGTGCATACTAATGGCGAATGTTTGCCTCAGTTCCTCGGGAGTCGTCGTGCCTAGCTTCAGTCGTGGAATCGTGCCATTCTGATTCTGAGTCCTGTGACGTGAATAAAAATATCTGTGCAGTCCAATATTTGCCCTTACTTACTTGCGACAGCGACTTCAGGAAATAAAGGAATTGTTGTGAAGAGTTCGTCTGAGAACTGACCTACGCCGTACGCCGAGAGCTTGTAGTGCGGCAGGCGAGGCTTTACAAGGGCTTGAGGCTTTAGTACAGTTTGGCCTGGACATCTTTCAATTCCGTGTTGGTGTCTTGCAGTCTCTTGCGTTCAAGAAAGCTGTGCACTTGACTTGTGACTTAGAGTTCGGATCTGGGAGGACCGTTCGTTGTAAGTGGGCGTTGTGGCTCGCACTCGCAAAAGCCTAGTCACTGGCCGACACAAACTTTGTGTCTGTGAAAAACTCTGACTGGCAAAAGTGCCTAAGCCATGCCATTGCCAATGGACCCGGACTCCCAGAAGGTCTTTCGAAAGCTTGCGAAATTGCTGTCGGAGCGACAAGCCAACTATGTCCTGCAGATGTGGCTGAGATTGTACTACGACCAGTGTGTGCACCTCAATATACTAAATCAGAAATTCTTTTGCTTACTGCGATTCGTCCCAAAGCCCTGTGACTGTAATAAATATTAATGACCAAAGTCCAGCTAGCTGTCATCCAAGGGAAGACTGCCTGGGCGACTACCTAGAGTTCCGCATGTATTGGATCGAAGAGTCTCTCAACAACGAGGTGCACACCGAGTTGGCGAAAAGAAGCAGGTTGCTCGAGCTCAAGATCTTGAGGAAGATCGTCACCGTGAGATAGTGACTCAGCGACTTAGTGACTGAGTGGCGGAATGACTTCGGAGCCGGACCGAGGCCGAGGCTTTTTACAAACACAGTGTGTTTTCACCGTGTTTGCGCAAGTAATTTGTATACGAGTAGGAAGTGACAAAGTGGTTGCACAGAATCAGAATGCAACCCAGTCAGCAGCCGGCAGTGCGGCAGTGAACATATTTATCTCAGTGCTTACTGAGCACTGAGGTAAGCATGGGCCTGGGCCATGTGACTCTATGCTAGTTACATATGTATTTAATTTATATGTATATATATATATATATATGTATGTACATATTTCCACTCCTGTGTCGATTCGAGGAGCCTGAATTTGCCTGCGGTGCCGTGCTGTCCTAATTCAGTTTATCGGCAGCAGTGTGTCTATGTGGGAATGAAACAGTGCTTGCTCATATAATGACTAAGTCTTTATTTGACCGCTACTGCCCACAAGTCGGGACTGCTGATGCTAACAGAGTGCACAACTCGACCTGCCTTCAACAGCAGCTAGCAGTGGAAAGTGTGTGTGCCTGTCAGTGCCTAGCCTCGGTTAGAGAGTTCTTTGTTTTGGCCTTGAGCCTATGTTATGTCGCCAGGTCTGAGCTCCTGGACTCTGGACTTGACTTGCCACACATTGAGAAGGCCCGCTGTGTAGAATAGAAGGGCATTGATTCATTGACTTCCTGCTCATCCAGGTTGCTTGGTGTGACGATGTCTGAGCTGCCACTTCGGGCGGCCAGTACGGGCCTTGCCTGGTGCCTGATTGATTTGTGCTTCATCATTTATTAATTGAGTTCTCGTCAGGTGCAGTTTGCTTGAATGAATCATCCAAGCAGGCTGCACATGACTGAGGGTATGTCGATCTTGATAGAGTCATTGTTTCACAATCTCGTCAGCTTAGTGTGACGATGTCTCAGCTGTCGCTGCCAGTGCCTGATTGATGTGTGCTTCGTAAATCAGTGTCAACTTTGAGCAGGCATGGAGGGTGCCTATTGGGATCCAATATGCCCCCTCCATGCGTGCTCAAAGGCGCAGTTTGCTTCAATGAATCATCCAAGCAGGCTGCACATCTGGTCGTGCCTGATTGTCGTTGAAAATAAGAAGCAGTCAGCCTGCTTGAATGATTTGTTGCCGGTAGCAGTCTGCACGTGTGCCTCAGAACCGTCTTGGCGAATGAAAAAGTGTCCTCTCGATCTCGACTGCAAGCTTGGCTTCCCTTTGTGTTGACTGTCCCCCAGTAAATCCCTCTATACGAAAGCTGTGTTAAAGCCACCACGCCCCAGTCTGATGACGTCCTCGTAGAAATTTCTACATAGCATGGGATTTGGTGACTGGAACAATGGCGTCCTCGCAGAAATTTCACATTGCTGCCAACATCCTCAATTTAAAATCCTGTGAAGACGAGGAGAACAAGGACCCCGCCGTCGAGGACGAGGCCGTCGATTCAGTTGTGGGCCTTTGGGAGCCCTCGGAGGGGGTCCGTGAGACTCTTGAAAAGGCTCCTGTCTTCAGGCATGAGGCAACACGTTTCCTTCACATTGTGGCTTCTGAGGAGGGGTCTCATTTCAAGTGCGGGAGAAAGATCTCAACCTCTTATGTGCGCTGTGAGAGCTTGCCGAAAGTTTTGTTTCCAGTATGCAAGCAGTGTTGCCCCGACGTGAAATCGGTCGAGGCGGGCACTGATGCGTGATAGTCTTTTGCTGTCGCAAGGGCGACACAACGAGGGGCGACTTTGTGCATAAAGAGATGCTTGCTCGCTTTCATGACGGTTCCAATTTCTTTTGCAGGAGAGGCGAGTGATTCAAGTTGAACAGTCCATGCTGAAGTCATTGCACATGCTTAGGCCTAGGCTTCTGAGTCCTTTGGGGACCTGTGAGAGTGCTTTGAGGGATCAGATGCGGGACCACCCGAGGGCAGGTACTCTTGTGAATGCTCCTTCGGAAATGTATCTCAAGGTGCCAACCGGCGGAGGCAGCAACATGGCCGCTTCTTACTCAGATAGCCGTAGTGTCTTCGATGCCAGGGTAGATGCATGTGGATTGCCGAGGGAAGATGCTGCGAAGGTCAAAGCGGCGGTGGGTTCGCTTCGGCAACTCGCCTTCATATCAAGCTTTACCCCGGGTCAAGCGGATGAGGCCCCGCTTATGGCTGCTCTGAAGTCGATGCTGGGCCGAGATGCTGAATTGGCTGTTCAAGCTAGTCTCAGGGCATTGTACCACGAGGCTTATGCTATTGTTACTTCAGAGATGCGCCAAAAGATCGAGAAGAGTGAAGAGCCCACGGCAAGGAGGCTCACCCAGCCCGAGCGTGCCGAGAGGCATGAGAAGCAAGTCGCGAAGCTCGTGGGTGTGCTTGTAAAGCTGTAAGAACGGCGGTGTTTCCCTCTTCTCCGGCAGGTCGCTTTGCAGTGCACAGGGAGATGCGATCGCCGGTGGTCCCGACAAGGCACAAGCGTTTTGCTGTTGTGAGAAAGGCCGGTGCGCCCTTTAGTTTCGGTAGCGGCTGCCAGTGTCAGCTGCTCCCAGCAGTTTGACACTGGTAGCGGAGCCTGTCTTCCGAGCCTCAGAGAACGGAGTCGACGTCCCGGCTCCCAACGAAGCCGACCCCTGGCAGAGCCAGGACCCATGGGCGAGATGGCGGACAGAGACCGCCGAGGTGACCAATGATACTCCGACGACACCGACCGATGAGACGACAGCTGAAGCTAGCGACGACCACCACAACGGGAACACTGCTGACAACAGTGGCTGGGAGAGCCGCTCTGGACCGGGCGGGGGAACGCCGGGTCCTCATGAGCGACCTAGATGGTCGGACGCAGCTTGGCGCGAGTGGCTGCAGGGCACCTGGAAGCCAGAGTTTGGCGGGCAGGTGGACGACAACTACGGCACCGACGGCCGGAGGACTTCCACTACTTCGGCGGACTCCAACGGGGCGACTGGCGCTACAGCGACAAGGCACCCACCGAAGAAGTGGTGGGAAGGAGGGACGGATTGGAGCCGCGAGCAGTGGCACGGCACTTCGTGGACCTGGGCGGCGGACCCTGGGGCGGCCAGTACTCGTACCTCTACCTCGGCCCCGACGAACACGCCGGCTACCCGATTCAGCGCGACGCTTACGGCATGGACGAGCACGAGACCTACGGATGGTGGGGAGCGGCCCGCTGGCGGACCCGAAGGCGGAGGCGGCAAAGGACCATCCGAGAAGCTGATCATCCCGTCGTTCAGCGGCGACGGGGAAGGTGCGGAGCTCGGGACGAGTGCACGGAGCTACCTTCGCCAGGTGGACGCCTGGGAACGCATGACGAAGCTGGCGCCCAGTCAAAGGGCACTCGTCCTCTACCAGCACCTGGAGGGCGCAGCATGGATCAACGCCGAGGCGCTGAGCATGGAGGCGCTGAGCTCGGCCGATGGCGTCGGCTATCTACGACAGTGGGTACAGCAGCACTACCTGGACGTGGAGGTGACGTCAGTTGGGCGATCGCTTTCGGACCTGTTTCGCAAGCTGAAGCGGAGGTACAACCAGAGCTTCCGGGACTACACGGCCGAGTTCAACCGGCTGCTGGCGAGGGTCGTGGAGTGCGGGTGCAAATTGCCGGATGTGGCTACGGCATGGTTGTACGTAGATCGGGCCAGTCTCGACGAGGCCACCGAGGTGAGCCTCCTGGCGAGCGTCGGCAACAAATACCAGTTGTTGCAACTCCAACAGGCAGCAATTATATTGGACAGGTCCATGAGGAAACCGTGGGAGAAGAGCGGCAAACCTGATGGTGCGCGACGGCCACAGACCGTGCACCACACCGAGGACGCCGAGAACAACGACGGGCCGGAGTCCGACGAGGAGCCGCCTACGGAGGACGTGCCCGGCGAGGACGGGGAAGCGCTCTACGTCGCCTACATGACCGCTAAGGCCCGCTACAAGGACACCACGCGGGCCCGGGGAATCGACATCGACGCTGTGAAGAAGACGGCCGAGGAGCGGATCAAGGCGGCGAAGGCGAGGAGCTATTGCTCCGTCTGCCACCAAAAGGGGCACTGGCACAGAGATGCCTGCTGTCCAAAGCGAAAGCCTGAGGTGCAGACCGTGAATGTGGCCCATGAACTGGACAGCCTCCGACCGGCTGCCTCCCTGGGACTCCAGGCCATCACCGACTCCGCGTGTTCCAAATCGGTGGTGGGGACTACATGGCTGCAGGGATACCTCAACATGGTGAGAAACCAAGGCAAGGTCCCGGAGCTGATCTCCGAGCGCGAGGCCTTCCGCTTCGGAGCGAGCCGGGTGTACGAGTCCACGTACGCCACCGTGATCCTGTTCTACCTGGGGAGCGCCTGGGTCGCCGTGAAGGCGGCGGTGATCCATGGGGATATTCCCCTTTTGCTATCGAAGCCCTGCCTGGCGAAGTTGGGGATGGTCATGGACCTCGAGCACAACACGGCGGACTTCCGGAAGCTTGGCATCACCGGGCTGCAGTTGCTCACGACTCCCACTGGCCATCCCGCGGTAGCTGTGTGCCACAAGGGCAAAAGCCTTCCCGATCCGAGTGCCCTGCCAAAGGCCTGGGGGCCGGACGGCACTGAGATCATCGCCGAGGCCGCTCAGGTATATATGACTGTTGTTGCAGGACAGGGTCAGGGAGAAGGGCCGGGTTCGGGAGTGCATCAGATCTTCTACGAGAAGAAGGTAGATGAGGCCGCTAGGGCAATGCTCGTTGGTGATCATCTTTGCCATGCTACATTCCTTCAGTGGTGGAGTAGCTGCCCGTTCTCAAACGACTTCTGGATTGAGACCCCCGACAAGTTAGTCAGAGTTCACGTCACCCCAAGGAAGCACTACTTTGACCCCGATAAGTGGAAGACCCAAAGCACACTGCAACGCGATCTACTACAACAGGCCCTTGGAAGCATTCGCGAAACATGGGGGATCGCATGCAGCAGCCGGCGTCCGCTTAGCACCGTCTGTCACTTGTGGAGGGACACGCAATCTGAGAGCGACTGCGGCAGCTACCCAACTCTATGGATCGGCCGCAGCGTCTTCAATCGAGAGCGACCTAACAGCCTGTTCCTTTGCCCTCCTCGTGATGAGCCACGGCAAGGCGACATGGACCATGAACAAGACACAGCTGTTGGCCGAATGCACACGAAGGAGCCTGGCGGTGGATCCGAAGTGGACGGTGACCGAGCTGCGCCACGTCTTGGCCGGGGACTCCAAGCACTACCACTACCGCGAGTCGCCACCGGAGGTGCCGAAGAGCATCTCGAAGATGACTCGCGACGAGTTGGTGTCGGAGGCGGAGAAACTGGGCATCGAAGTCGGGACCAAGGACCCGAAGGGTGCCATCATGATGCGGATCCGAGACCACGCGGCGCCGGACACCACGATGATGACGATCGGCCGCTTCCGCGGCGAATCCTTCGTGAACATCCCGGACAGCTACGGGGACTGGGCGTCGGAGGAGGAACGGATCAACGGCGACAACATGCACCCGGAGATGAAGCGATATGTTACATGGCGTCGCAACCACAAGGCGAGGAAGAGCTCCGCGGGGTACATCAACAAGAACAAGGCCCGGAACTACCTCGACGTGGAGGCGAGCGCGCTCATCCCGCCACCACCGATCAGCGAGACCGGGGCCTCCTCATCGGCAGTGTGGGACATGGTAGAAGGGATGGGCAACCCACCGTCGGCCACAGCCAAGGCAACATCGAGACCCACGAGAAGACCCCTCGAGGAGGACAAGAACGCCCGGAGGATGGAAAGGGATGTGGAGCCGCACATGTTGGAGGAAATCCGCAACCTGGAGGCCAGGCTGGCGTGCCTACGCGACGCGGCCGGCATGAACCCCGGCCCGGGACAGTGAGCTATGCCAAGGAGGGCACGATCATCCCCGAGAGCGACAAGGACTTCTACCCCAAGAACCCGGTCCACGACACCACCGAGGCAGAGGGCGGCTCTACTAGGACGGCGACCGTCTTCGCCGCCGAGGAGGCGATCATCCCAGAGAACGACGAGGACTTCTACCCCAAGAACCTGGTCCCCGGTGGCGCAGAAGCCAATGATCAGGACTACGAGTCGTGCGAGTCGTCCGAGTCAGCCGTGGCCCAAGAGGCTCTCTACACCAAGCATGATGCGCAGGAATGTCTCGTCACCGAGTTCGGGTACAAGGACGGCGTCACAGGCGGCGAGGAGATGGCGAGGCGAGCCCTACAGGAGGAACGATTCGGAGACGAGGACGTCGAGACGATCTTGGACGCCTGTGAGTTCGGGCACAGAAGGGACCGCCCCGGAGTGCACGCGCAAGGCGTGGAAGAGCGATGCGTCCTGGGCTACTACGCGTTCGGGAAGTTCCATGGAGTCACCAAGCGCAGTGGGGCATGGAGCTACCTGACGAGGTACCTCAACCGTTTCCTCCAAGTTCGGTGCGGGGCCGCGAGCTCTACCTGGACATCTTTGTCTATATGTCTGAACGCTCCGGCCGGGATCCACACCGACCGGACCAACCTCCCGGGGAGCCTCAATGTGATGTGGACTGGCGGCCAACACCGAGGCGGGGGACTGTGGATCGCGGACAAGGAGGGCACCGAGATCAGGCGCGACGACAACGGGGAGTATGTGGCGGGCAAGATCATCGAGACGAAGGGCAGGATCACCTCCTTCGACCCGAAATGTAAGCACGCAAGCGAACCTTGGACAGGCCGCCGTTGGAGTGTCGTCGGCTATGTTGCCCGGAGCTTCCCCTACGCCTCCAAGGTCTCCAAGCGTGTGCTCTCGAAGCTCGACTTCCCTGTGCCCACGGCCACCGACCTCCGTTGTTTCAGGGAGGCCAACGTCAGCAACCACCAGCGGGAAAGCAACTCGAGGAGGCCCAGGAAGAGCGTCCAGCGGGGTCTCTGGAAGAATGCAGCAGCGATTTCAATGATGATGACTACAGCGTTGGCTACGATGTCCTCGTTCGCGATGGAGTACACGGAACCTCGGGCCAAGCCGCGGGTCGCTATCCTCGAGGTCGGCGACGTGACGGCCACATGCTATGCGGCCGGGATCTGTCCGGAGGGGGGGAGCGTCGCCGAGCCCATGTTGTATTCCGACTTGGAGTACGCCGACAAGCTTACAGATTGCAACTTCGGGCCCATCGAGGTGGGCACGATCAAGCATGAGCCCGGGGAACTTTGGCTACATGTCACGAGGGACTGGCTGGCCACGGACGTGAAGGAGGACGCCGAGCAGGCAATGGACCGCCAGCTGCGCGACGGGCGCAGTGTCGTTCTGCAAAGGGGCGCCAGTGATATCGGCCTCTGGGAAGATGCCACGTCCGGCTGGGAAGACGCCGGGTACACGGTCGACTATGACATCGACCAGAATGGCAACGAGTACGTGAAGGTGTCGCCCGCCGAGGACGACCCCGACGAGCCCTATGTGATCTACGCGGCCGACGCCGTCGGAGAGAGGGACGGAGTGAAGCCCGACCGGGACGGAGCGCGGAGCATCCGTTTCCCCCCTAGCGTGCCAAAGCACATAGCCGCCAGCCTTCGACGACTACATCAAAATTTAGGACATCCGAGCACTGCTGACTTTACCCGCCGTTCTCAAAGCTGCCCGTTCCCTGGAGTGCCAAACTTGTGCCCGGACAAAGGCAACGGCCATCGCCAAACCCGCGAAAATCGGGAGCTGCTTACGATTTAATGAGGTCGTGGGCGTGGATTTGTTCTATGTGCATGATGTCGAGGGCAACCCACGAGCTACTCTCCATCGTCGACTACTCCTCGGCGTACCAAGTCGTGATCCCAGTTGCCCGGAAAGACACACCGCATATCGAGCGAGCGTTTTGTGAAGGATGGGCAAATATATTTGGGGCTCCAGAGGTCGTCACGGTGGATCTGGAGAACGGCTTGCAAAAGGCGCTCGCCAAGGTCGGCGATTGGGCCGGCATGCGGATAAAGTCCGCGGCCGGACAGGCCCATTGGCAGGCCGGCTTTGTCGAGCGGCACGGAGGGATCTGGAAATCGATGTTCAGTCGGGTGAACGAGGAGATGTCCGTCGTCAAGGGGGAGATCCACCTGGCAACGATGGCCGTCTCCAGCGCCAAGAACCACCTCACCAGATCTGGAGGGTACAGTCCACAGCAACATGTGTTCGGGACGACGCCCAGGGTTCCGGAGGACTTACTCGAGGGCCCTCACGCACGGAGTGCCGACGACGGTCCAGTCATCGACGACAAGCACGCCAGGGAGGTCGCCATCCGGACGAGCGCCCGCGTCGCCTACCACCACGTCCAGACCGACGAGAGAGTGAGGAGAGCCTTAGCCGGGAGGGCCCGAGTCCAAGCCCGCCGACCGGTGACAGGAGAGCAGGTGTACTACTTCCGGAAGACGCAAAGCGCGGTATGTGGGTCGGACCTGGCACCGTGATAGGCGAGGAGGGCACCAACATATGGGTGTCAAAGGGCGGACGATGTGTTCTGTGTGCGGAGGAACACGTGAGATTGGCGACGCCAGAAGAATTGGGGCAGGCGTTCAGTATGCGAGTCGCCCGGGAAGATCTGGAACGGCTCCTTGGAGGCGACCCGGAGGATGAGGAGATCTACGGGGATGACGAAGGCGACGCCAACGGCCACGGCGGAGCGGACCTACCCAGCGACCTCGACGACATCCTCGACGAGATGAGCCTGCCCGACGAAGTCGCCTACGATATGGAGGCGGAAGACGAGGAGGCGAGAGGGGTGCGACGGGGCTTAGAGGGGCCGTCCCTACCAGTACTTCGACGAAAGAGACAAAAGGGCCCTCCAGGATAATCGGGTCCGCCTCCCGCGCCCCATTCGTACACATGCTCAAGAAGGCGAAGACCGAGCGCTCCAAGGCCAAACAGCTCGAGAAGGAGATCCCATGGTCCCAGATCCCCGACGAGGTCAGGCCCCTGTTCATTGAGGCCGAGCGCAAGCAATGGAACGAGCACTTGGAGCATAAAGCCTTGGAAATCATGGACATCCAAAGCAGCTTGAAGGCCCGGGCCGAGGTGCCAAGGGAACGCATACTGCCCTCAAGGTACGCGTACCGCGATAAAGCCATGGGCAAGCGGAAGGCGTGCCCAGAGACGCCATGGCGTGCCAAGGCACGGCTGGTTGTCGGAGGACACCTCGATCCAGATCTGGGCGGCGGCCTCACGACAGACAGTCCCACCATCAACCGGTCCTCACTCATCATGCTGCTCCAACTGGCCGCTTCACTGCGATGGGAACTGGCTGCCGGCGACATCCAGGCGGCATTCCAGCGGGAGCTGTTTATGGAACAGCCACGAGGCGGGGTCGAGGGACTCGACCCAAGGCAACTCCTGCGGATCCGGAAGGGGATCTTCGGACTCGCTGAGTCACCACGAATGTGGTACGACCGCTTGAACCAGGTGCTCACGGAGGAGACCTTTGTCATCGACGGCGTGAACCACCGCCTACGACCTTGCCCCCTCGACCCATGTGTCTACCTACTACAGGCCGAGGGCGAACCCCGACCACGCGCCTACATCGGGATCCATGTTGACGACCTGATCATCCTGGCACCACGCGAGGTACGATTGGCACTGCAGGAGAAGATCAGCGCCCTGTTTCCGGTGGACAGCTGGGAAAGCGAGGAATTCGACTACATCGGCTCGAGCATCTCCGTCAAGGACGGCACCGTGAAAGTGAACCAGGCGGCCTTTGTGGAGGGCCGACTCTTCACCGTCGAGGTCCCCAAGAACCAAGAGGGGGACCAGCCGGCCACCGAGGAGCAGATGATCGACAACAAGTCCCTCATAGGGGCCTTGTCATGGCTGGCAAGCCAATCAAGGCCCGATTTGCTGTGCCCTGTCGCCCTGGCACAGCAACTCCAGAGAGCGCCGACCACCGACGACGTCCGCTTCACTAACACCACAGCGCTCCGTGCCGAAGCTCACAAGGACAAGGGCCTCACGCTACACCCTGTCGACCTCAACAGGGCAGTCATAGTCGTCTACCACGATGCTGCGTGGGCCAATGCCGAGCACGAGGAGGCCGAGCCCGGGTTCGAGCTTAAGGCGGAGGAGATCCAGAGTGGGAACATCGGGGCGGGACTCTACAGCGACAAGAGACCTCGACTACCGAAGCGGGCGAGGTCGAAGCTGGCGTCACAGCTTGGCCACCTGGTGTGCCTCTGCGACAGGGACATCGCCAACGGAGCAAGAGTCCCCGTCGGGATCCTGGAATGGCGGAGCAATGCCTCAAAGAGAGTGTGCCGGAGCACGTTTGGGGCCGAAACAATGTCGGCGGTTGAGGCTCTAGAGGCAGCACAGTACCTCCGTGCCCTCATGGCCACCTTGGTTAGCGGTCGCCTGGTGAAACACGAACAGGCCGCGGAGTTCTGCCCGATCCTGGCGCTCACCGATTGCAAGTCTCTTCACGATTTTCTTCACCGAGCCGGACAGCCGAGACTCCCCTCCGACCGCCGGCTAGCTATAGACCTGGCGGCCTTGCGCCAGGACCTACGTGCTGAAGTACCAGCAGGAGCCCCTCAGCAGAAGGGAATACCCTTCAGGTGGATACCCACCACCCTCCAGATGGCCGACGTGCTCACCAAGCCACGCCGAGGTGATGAGTGGTGGTCCATGCTTGAAGAGGGGATACAGCTGCCGTTCGCGGACGGAACCTTGAACCTCCGAAAGAGAGGTGAGAATTTTGAACCAGTGTAAAGCTGTAAGAACGGCGGTGTTTCCCTCTTCTCCGGCAGGTCGCTTTGCAGTGCACAGGGAGATGCGATCGCCGGTGGTCCCGACAAGGCACAAGCGTTTTGCTGTTGTGAGAAAAGGCCGGTGCGCCCTTTAGTTTCGGTAGCGGCTGCCAGTGTCAGCTGCTCCCAGCAGTTTGACAGTGCTTATCAAGGGCCCTTCGGAGCCCAGCGAGGCACTCGTCGACAAGGCCGTTTCAGCTTATGAGCAAAATGAGCTGAGGTACATTTCTTGGGAATCTTGCACCTCCCGGGAGCAAGAAGTTGCATCGGAACGAAAGAAGGGGACATTCGGGGAAGCTTAAAGTCGAGAACAAAGATGCTGAGGACAAGGCCTCCACTGCTTCGGAGGTCCATGTGCTTCAGGCTTTGCAGAGGCGATCACTTGCCCTGGATCAGGCAAATCTTGTTGAGTACACCCTGATGCAGCAATGGTCGGACCGCCTGTTGCGTGCCAGGATGGACGATCCACCGCCCCAGTACAGCCGTCCGTCTTGGAGCCAGCTTGTGGCTGCAGACAAGAAGCTCTTCAGTGAGTTGCGGGATCTGACGAGAGACGGAGTCCAGTCATCAAGTGGAGGGGCGCGCCCGCTTGACAAGCACCTCCCTGCTGTGATGATGTCGTACGATGTGGTCTGCTTGCTCCAGCCTATGCCTCAGTCAGCCAGTGGGCGGAGCTCCGATGATTCCGGCAAGGAGCGCCCCGCTCCCTACACTCCCAAGGGTCCTAGGAAGGGCGCTGGGAAAGGCAAAGAGGGCAAGGGAAAGGGACGCATGCCTGCGCAGCTTATCGCTTGGGGCTGCACTTCGAGTACCAAGAAAGGAAATCCGTACTGTTATGGGTTTCAGCTTGGCAACTGCCAAAATGCTGTGACCAACAATGCCTGTGTGAGAGGCTTGCATGCTTGTGCCATCCCGAAGTGCGGGCAGCACGGGCACGGGGCCTCCACGTGCCCGAAGAGGAAACAAGAGTGACGGTGCCAGGTGAGCACAACGACGAATGATTCGTCAGAGTCAATCGGTCGTGTGGCCGGTGTTGGCCAGTCAGGAAATGATTCGGATGCCCAAGCCAGTCAGAGCTGGGGACCGGAACACTTCCTCGGCGGATCATCTCTCGAAGCGGATGCATGTGTGCAACCAGCTTCCAGTTCTCCTCAGCACGATAAATTTTCCGCAATTCTTCAAAAGTGCCTGAGCTTTTTCGACAGCCTCCCGCACGAGTCAGTTGGGACCAAGACCGAATCTCATCGTGACCAGGTTGGGAAGGCCTTTTTCAGTGGGATGTATTCTAAGGGTGTCTCAGGGCTGCGAACTTCGGTCCACCGGCACCCCGAGGAGGTGAAAGTTCTGACTTCGTTGATTCGAGCCGTCGACCCAACGATGCTGTTTTCCAGTTTGGTCGTCACCGAGGATTCTCAGGTTGGCGTCCACAAGGATGCTCAGAACGTCTGCATCCAGAACTTGGTCATCCCGATGACTCGTTTTGGGGGAGGCGAACTGCTTTTAGAGGATCCCAAGGGTTCCTTGGTTCAGAGGGGTGAGATGTCTTTTCGGGCTCGCGCAGTGTCCTTGGATCAGGGACCCATTGCATTTGATGCCCGCTCTGTTAGGCATTCCGTGAACCCTGCTCGCTGTCGGCGCGTTGTCTTGATCGCCTACTGCTTGAAAGGCTCGGACCGCCTTGCAACCAGAGATTCCCAGTTGCTACGCAGTCTGGGGTTCGCATTGCCGGAGCAGGAGCCTGCTGAGGTTCCTCTCCCCGCTTTCACAGTTGGTTTTCCTGATTTTAGGCCCGCTTTAGGGTTTAGTCCCCCCGGCCCTAGTGCACCTTCTATGGGTTTGTCTTCGGTTAAAGCTTGCCCTTGGTTGTGCCTAGAGCTGTTTGCCGAAACTGGCAATATGTCTGCTTTGCGAAGCTTCGGGTTCCAAGCCCTTCCTTTGGGGCGCCGTGCAAAGGGGCCCATACACGTGACCCCGCTGGATCTCCCGCGCCCTCTCTTGGCAGTACGTGAAGAGGCTTGTACAAGCTGGGGATGTGTTCGTGGTACATCTTTCCCCACCGGGTCGCGGCTCGTTTGCCGATGCAGTGGCACCGCTTGTCGCTGACTTCTGCTGTTGGCTCCGCTCCGAATTTCCTGCTGTGCACTTCTCAGTTGTGTGCCCCGCCTCAGCGTCGCTTTGGAAACAGTCTGGCTTGCTGGATCTTCAGCGGTCTTGCATTCAGGTCTCCTTTGATGCCGCCGAATGCGGACCCGGGCCACATGAGAATTTTCTCCTGATGTCTTCACTTCCCGAGCTTCGGGTTTTTGAAACTTCGGCCGATGCCTCAAAGATCCCCTCCGGGGGCCCGGTTCGCGCGGCTTCTGTCGCTGCGCCGTCGTTCGTGCATACGAACCACTTTTCGTACCTCGTGACGAGGAACGAGTTACGACTATGTGTGCTAGCTAACCTATTTCTACACGAAGCTATTGAAGGTAGCTTCGCTAGAAACGAAGTTTCGTCGCTATCGTCGGTCGCAGGAGAGTTGCCTCTGACATGCGCAGACAGGATAGCTGTGACTTGGAATGGCTACGAACATGTATGGACCGTTGCCATTCTGGATAAAGTCCCCCATCAGGGGGGTAATTTTGAAGTAGAGGGGAGAGAAGGGGAACTTGGCTATCTAGCCAAGCGAGAATGGCGGCCTCTCCTCGCACCCCCTCTGCTACGACGAGTCCGCCGTCACCGGCTACTACGGTAATTCCGGCTAGTCCAGGGGGGGAGGTGCCTGGGAGCCCGACCGTCCTGCCCACGGCTACGCCGGGGGAGCAGGGCGAGGGGCAGGGTTCCCCCTCCGGCGGAATAGGGAGTCCCGTTGCACTTCCGGCCCTGAGGGATAGTGCTCTTGTACAGAAGCGTGCGGTGCTGGATAGATGCCACGAGCATCTGGCGTCGCGGGGCTTCGGTGTGCTAGAGTTGGCTACCCTCGACCTAGGAGACGCGGAAGATGTTGGCCACCAGGTGGCGGAGGAGCTTGGCCTGGGCTACGACGAGTACATCGGCGACTCGATCTACCTGTGGATACAGGAAGCCCGTGAAGCTAGGGATCTTGTCGAAAGGTTCTCTGGCTACAACTCATCCTCGCTAGCCTGGATGAACCTCAGCAAGCGACCGGCAATAGAAGGGATAGACCTTCAAGAGGATAGCGAGCCTGAGCCTCCGAAAGGGGATAGGCAAAAGCGCTTGGTCAATGAGGGCTCCTTGGCGCAGGCGAGGGAAGAGCGGCTACAAGCTACCTGGGCGGTACGGCTAAAGGAAGAGCTGGAGATATGCGAGGCACCGGTCTTGAAGAAGCTACAGGGGAGCCTAGACCCGGACAGAGCTATCCTGGCCCTGGCTGGGAAGACCCGGGCTAGCACGCTTAAGCGCTACGTCTCCATCCAGGTCAGGTGGCGACTTTGGCTGCGGGAGGCTAAAGACGGCCGCCCCCCTGGGCTACCTGCCGACCTAGCCGACTACATTATGGCTAGAGGAGACGAACCGTGCGGCCGCACGGTGCCAGCGAGGCTATCCTCAAGGCGATCAGCTGGATAGAGCGGGTGGCAGAATGGTCCACCGAGACAAGAGCCACGGCCGGGAGGATAGCCTGGGCGGTCAAGGACACGGTGGTCGAGAGGCTATCGTGGAAGGCGCCCTGGACAAGGAGAGCTCCAAGATACCCAGCGGCGATCCTGGCCAGATGGGAGAGGCTAGTGCTCGACGCCAGCGTCGCCGTTGGCTGGAGAATCTGGGCCTGGGCTAAGCTGCTGAAGGCCTGGGGAAGCTTGCGATGGTCTGACCTCCAGGCTATGATCCCGAACGAACTGGCTATGGTGGAAGGAAGGCTATCCACGATCTTGCGGCGGACGAAGACCACGGGGGCTAACAGGCGCGTCCGTGAGCTACCCGTGTGCATCTCGGAGAGAGCCTACTTCGAGGACCCAGGTTGGCTATTGGTGGGGTTCAACCTGCTGAAGAACCACGCCGGCTACCAAAGGGACTACCTGATGCCGCGGCTAGGCGCAGGTGGTTCCCTGGAGAAGAAGATGGCTACCTATGCGGATGCCATGGTGGCGTCTGCTGGATTGTTGGCTATGGTGGGCGTGCCGGTGGTGGCTAGAGGCTACTGGTCCGAACACAGCGAGCGAGCGGTGCTGCCCACGGGACTGAGCCTGAAGCCGATCCCCCCGGCGGATAGAGATATGCTGGGGAGATGGAAACCCGAAGGATCGGATACCTATATCCGTTCCTATGGCGGCCGGGTGGCTAGGCTGCAAGCCATCTATGCTGAAGCGGCTAGAGCACGAGATCGGGAAGACCAGCTAGATGAACGGGAGATTGCCGGCGACCTCGGCGGCTGGCTATTCCGCATCGGCAAGGCTAGCCAGCGAGACGCTGACAGACTCGCAGGGGAGCTCCGCCGCGAGTGGGCTAGCGAGAGGATAGTCGAGCTGGTGGCGAATCCTGAGCTACCCGAGGAGATCGAGGCGAGCGCTCCACCGGAAGACGGACCTGAAGAATCGGCTAGTGAGCCAGAGCTGGGACCGGAGTTGCAGCGGAACCGGCCGAGGCAGCTTCTTAAGAAGGCTAGGTGTACAAGCTATATCATCGTAGAGCTACCAGGTAAGAAGTTTCGGCTACACAAGGGGGGGCAGGCCGGATGCTGGATGGGCCGCCGCCGGATATTTAAAAACTCTCAGGAGTTCTCGGCTAGGCCGGAACCGGACCAGTACACGCATGTCTGCAGGCTATGCTGGCCGAAGGGTCAGGGCGAGACTCTTCCCTCTAGTGATAGCGACACCTCTCAGGCGAGCACCGGTGACCAGAAGCCGGAGCAGGGAGAGGATGGAACTTCAGGAGAGGCCCCGGCAGCCGAGCTGCCGGGGGCACCACCAGGGATAGTGCCCCAGTTTCCTTTTGCGCCGCTCCCGGCTATCCCGTTCGGCTGGGGAGCACCAACCGCCTGAAGGATAGAGCACCGGGGAGATAGCGGGGGAAGAAACGTGCGGATACTTCCGGGGGGGCCTCTCGGGATACTCTTTCTTTTCTATCCCTCCGGGGGGCGGGTTGCCTTGGGAGGAGAAAGAAGAGGAGAGAAGAGGGAGAGAGGAGAGAACCACGTTCTTGCACTTGCTGTGTCTTGTGTCGGCTAGGGCGTAGGCTGCGAGGTTCTCAGGCAGGCTAGTCGGCATGCGCACATGTTCTGCATTTTGCACCCATGTCGGCTAGAGCATTGCCAAAAGCACGTGCCGTGGCTACTGTGGCTAGCGGTGGATTAACGGCCCACCAGGATTGAGGCGAGCCCACGCTAGGTGGGCGAGTTTTCCGGGCCCCTTGGGGCGGCTAGTGAGACATGGCTAGCGCCGCCAGTTGGGCGGACCAGACAGAGTCGGCTAGCGCACTTGCGCAACGGATAGAGATCCTGCGCCTCTTGGAGGAATGGCTAGAAGTGGACGCGGCTAGCCTGGGCGAGCAGCTCTATGAAAGGCTAAGCCTGGATAAGCAGCATGAGCTGCTACAGCTGGTTAGGAAGGCTAGAGACATGCGGCTAGCCGAGTGCCTTGAAGGGGCCAGCATCCAGCCGGGCGGCCGGCTATCCGCCAGGCTACTCAAGTTCCAGGGGGCTACCGCCTGGGACGATATCCCGGCAGAGCTGGAGGCTAGCCTGACCACCACGGAGGCTAGATACATCGCACAGAGGATAGAGAAGAACCGGGAGTCAGCCGGGCTACGACCACACCGTCCCGGGGAGACCGTGGAGGAGGATAGTGTCACGGATAACGAGCTGCAGGATACACCGTGGCATGGAGAAGCCCCGGAGGCTACCCAAGCTAGCCCGTCGCATCCGGCGACAGCTAGTGCGCGAACGCCACCCGACAGGCTAGACCTACTGCAGGAATGGAGCTCGAGGCCGAGGTCCGTGGAGCGGCTACCCCTGCGGCTAGGCAAGAGGAGCC